TTTGTTTCCGTTTTAGCGAAAAAATGACTGCGCTATGGCTAGGGTAAATAAACTCGTACCTAGTCATGGGTAAAGCAGCTAATGGGGGTATTGGGTTGTCGTTTCAAAAAGGTAACTGAATAACAAGTAGAACATTCAGCCTAGAGGTCCTAATGGGCAATCGAAGATCTCAGTTTTTCCACAAGCTTAGGTCCGATGACAGCAGAAAATGTCTCAGCACTGGATCATTTAGTATGGGGCGGGTGACAACTGTCTCTGTTTTGCAAGGAATTGGAACGGGAGCCGGGTCAACTTCCCCCAAAGCGCAAAAGGGAAGTCAACAAGAACGATACCTATTTTTGACTTCCCGAAGGTTTTGCAGTTTTTTCAATCGTAACGTAAGTGATGTTTCACCGTCTTTTGTTTCCTCGAGGTTATGAGAAGTGGAAGATAGGTCAGTTTGCTTCAAAAACATTTTGATGAAGAGGTGGAGTCGGGGGTTGGACATTAGACTTTGCTGGACGAGATGTCGCGCCCGATTGAATTTGGGAGTTTCATAACAATTGATGGGATTGCTCAATATTTACCTAACGGTTTGGTTCTGTAGAGTTCACCTTGATTACTTGTTGATGTGTAGCTTTTACGGATATATCGTGAATGTTAAGTTGTATTCTTCGTATGCAACTGCGTTATGACACCGTGCTTTGCCTATTTGTTTCTGCTTGCCGTGTTTAGGCCTCGATAAATTATGCCAAAGAATAAGGGAAAGGGAGGCAAAAACAGGAGAAGAGGAAAGAATGAGAACGATTTCATGAAAAGGGAACTTGACACGAAGGATGTTGGACAAGGTGAGTCATCCATTATATATGCTTGACGTCAAGTATCTTACAGTTGTATAATTCATCATCCATTTTGTTAGAATATGGTCAAGTATCAAAAATGCTTGGTAACGGTCGCGTGTTGGCCTTCTGTTTCGATGGTAAACAAAGGGTGTGCCACATTCGAGGAAAACTGAGAAAGAAGGTGTGGATTAACACCGGTGACATTATTCTTGTCGGACTGCGGGACTATCAGGATGATAAGGTGTGTTTTTATATTTATTATACTTCACAGTACGAATAAATGGCTAGAGTCTTCACCTCAACAGTTTCATTCAATCTCCACCTCAAGCAGTTGAAAAACCCACTCAGATCAGTCGTCTGTCAAACCATGAACTAACTTGCCTGCAGGCAGATCGCTTTTGGAATGTCCACCTTACACTTTCTATAAATCTTGGCATAAAATCTTTCCTGTTATACTGCCGGAGCCAGAACCGAAATGAATACTGTTCACCTACATTTATCCCAAAAGCTCGAAACCTTTTTTGCTGAGACTTTTCCGCGAGGCCATGTGGCGCCACTGTTACCACCAAATTTGTTGTAAACTTGCATGCGGAGTTATATGGTCTCATGATCGCGGAAACGACAATTGTTTAGCACGGAAATCGCTACTCTCGCATTACAGCCGCATACCTTCGACCTGGCGCGTGCATCGCGGACTTCTGGCTGTTTCTTCCTTAGCGGTGCGCTAGAGCAGGCGACCAGACGAGACATTACCATTCTGGTTGCTTGATAAAGATCTTTCTTTCTGCTAAGGCCTCAACTTAGCGAAGGAAGGAATCATTACTCACGGAAAGGTGCGCAAAAGTCGCAAAGGTCTCCGCTGTCACACCAGCGCAAAAGTCTCTGCTGTCGCAAGTGCTCCCCTTCCTCCATCCTTTACTCTACTGGCACCCTATACAAATGTGTTGTTGTGAAATGTTTTCATTTTGTGAAACTGCCTCTGGGGAGGTTTTTAGCAAACATGTAATCTGGGGTATTTTGGGGCGCCAGGAACTTTCAAGCGACATTCACGTTCAGAAGAGGAGTCAGACTGCCCCTGGAAACCGATTTTCAGCCAAACCTGCTCTCGTAGAAAAAAGTCGGTAAGAAACTGGCTTAATTAGGGAAGTCTGGTGTAGTAACAACTTGAAAAGTGACCAAGATGTTACAACATTTTTATTCGGATAACGTTGCGGCGTTATCGTTTTCGTCAGAGCCTGGAAAGTCGAAGAATAAGATCAACTACCCCCTCCCCCCAATCATTGGGAAATTCGGGGCAGTTTTTCCTAAAGGCGTCGAGAAACTTGTTATAGATCACAACCACAATATGACTCACGACTGTGGTGGTGCAGCGCGTTCTAAGAATGCATTTTGAATGAATGAATAAATAAATAGATTTTTCCATAATTTCTGCATGAATAAAGGGTGTAAGATTGGCATTTTACTTGAAACAACTTTCTTTTAGGGCGATGTTATTCTCAAGTACACACCAGATGAGGCCCGGCGTCTAAAAGAGAAGAATGAGCTACCCGAACATGCCAAGATTAACGAGAATGATGAACAAGAGGAGGGAGAGATTGAATTCAGTTGGTTTTTTGAATATTAATTGCGGTATTTGATATTAATGGCTAAACGCCACAGTCTATCAAGAGTTTATTCTTAGGAGATCTTGGGGCAGAATCTGGAGATGATGAAGGAGAGGAGGAAGGTAACAACAT